TCTTTTTTTTTTTTTTTTGAGACAGAGTCTCGCTTTGTTGCCCAGGCTAGAGTGAGTGCCGTGGCGTCAGCCTAGCTCACAGCAACCTCAAACTCCTGGGCTCAAGTGATCCTTCTGCCTCAGCCTCCCGGGTAGCTGGGACTACAGGCATGCGCCACCATGCCCGGCTAATTTTTTATATATATATCAGTTGGCCAATTAATTTCTTTCTATTTATAGTAGAGACGGGGTCTCGCTCTTGCTCAGGCTGGTTTTGAACTCCTGACCTTGAGCAATCCGCCCGCCTCGGCCTCCCAAGAGCTAGGATTACAGGCGTGAGCCACAGCGCCTGGCCCCTTTCTACTATCTTGAAATGAAAGTTTAGCTTTTCCACTTTCACACTTCATTACTGCAGTACACAGATAGTGTTCATTGTACCCAATAGGTAACTTTTTAATCCCTCACTCCCCTCCCACACTCTCCCCTTCTTGGTTTCCAATGTCCTACATATCTCTTTATGCCTGTGTGTACCCATTGTTTAGCTCTCACTCATTAGTGAGAATATGTAGTGTTTGTTTTTCCATTCCTGAGAAACTTCACTTAGGATTTGGTCTCTAGTTTCATCCAAGTTGCTGCTAATGACATTATGTTGGATGCAATGGCATTATTTCATTCCTTTGCATGGATGAGTAGTTCTCCATGGTATGTTCATAATACTTTTATAATCTATTTATTTCTGTAAATGGGTAGCAATGTCCCCTCTTTCATTTTTGATTTTAGTTATTTGAGTCTTCTCTCTTTTTATCTTTATAAATCAAGTTAAATGTTTGTAAAGTTTTAAAAATCTTTTCAAAGAACCAATTCTTAGGTTCATTAATTTTCACTATTCTTCTATTCTCTATTTTTTTTATTTAGAATATTGTTTTGAAAATTGCAATAATTGTATAGGGACAAGATTGTCAGGAAAGGCACTCCCTGAAGAAGTATTTAAGCTGCATCCAAGAGAGAAAGAGTTAGTAGATACCTCACTGTATTTCTTTGATTGATTATGAAATTAACTGGTTTTAAAAATCTCTTTGTACTAGTAGTTCAAAAAAGGTAGTGACAGCATTTCATTTTGTCTATAAGAGCATAAAAACCTTGATAATAATATACAGGATGGTTTGAAAAGAGAAAAAACTCAAAGTAGAGAGAGCAGTTTGAAACATCCATCTTGCTGTAATGCAACTGGTAAATGCTTACATTGGTGCAGTGACTACAAATATTTTCCCAAGTGGAGATTTCATTTTGTGAGTGTGTGCTTTTTTCTTTGAATTAAAATTTTTGAAAAGCTTCAATATTCATGTAGGCAAACATGTAACACTTCTATCATAATTTATTGTCACTTCTAAAGTATACACACACACACACACACACATATATATATATCACTTAATTTGCTTCTGTTTTCTTCTATAGTTTTCTAAAAAAAAACTAACTTTTTTAATTCACCAGGTTATTTTTCTTAATTTCCCAAAATTCATCTGAATCAAGATATTCAGGTCTTAAGGCAGAAGTGGGTCAGAAACCACTGTAAGTTCTTCAAACACAGGAGTCTGATACACAAAGAGTTTGGTTACGCTCAGGTAACTCTGTGCTAAATGGCTGCTGGGGACAGCGACAGCCCCTCTGGCTGAAATAGTGAAGGGTCATAAGAGCCCAGAACCATGGACAAGGGAACTGTCTGGGCTAGTCCTGAAAGCACCACCTAAAAACAGGTGCTGGGATGGCTGAGGGGGAGCTACTCAGCAGGTAATGGGAGTCCTTGCTGTGGGTGCCAGCAGTGCTAAAAGATGGTGATGGAGCATTAGCAGTCCCTTGCTCTTGGAAAATGCTAATGAAATCAGAAAGAGAAAACAAGTCCCTCTCTACATCTACCTTTGAAATTTCTGCCAGGATTTCCCTTTGGTAGAAACTAAATGGAAGCCAGTTGGCAAGTGTTTTACTCCATTTTCTGTTGCTTATAATACAATCCTGAAACTGGGTAATTTATAAAGAAAAGGAATTTATTTCTTACAGTTACGGAAGATGAGAAGTTCAAAGTTGAAGGGCCATATCTAGTGAGGGCCTTCTTGCTGGTGGAGAAACTTTGCAGTGTCCCAGTGAAGCACAGGGCAGCACATGGCGAGGGGGTGAGCCTGCTAGCTCAGGTCCCTCTTCTCTTATAAAGCCACCAGTCTCACTCTTGTGATAACCAATCCACTAACCTATTAGCCCACTAATCCATGAATGGATAAACCCATGATCCAATCACCTCTGAAAGGCCCACATCTCAATACTGCCACGTTGGGGATTATGTTTCAACATGAGTTTTGGAGGGAATAAATATTCAAACCATAGCAGCAAGTAAAAAGGAAAATGGACTATTCAGGGCCCCTGAACTCTTAAAATGCACAGCAGAATATACAAAGGCAGAAATGGGGGCTGAGAGCAACAGTTGAGTGATTGTCCCAAACTATTTTCTCTTCAGTGCCTCTGAGTGGGTGAAACACATCCCAGAAGGTCATCTATTTCAATTTGGGGTATGTCTTTTGTTTTTGAGGCATGAGAGATCTAGTACCTTTTTAATCTTCATTTGGCATAGTTTATTTCCACAAGTTTGGGTATCTCTACCTGGTGGAGTCAGAGATAAGTTAATTAAAGTGTTAAACGTAGGATGTCAATTTGGTTAAGGGTTTTACTTTCAGAATAGATGAAGGAAAGGTAAGCAATACTGAGGGGACTATTTTCCTAGGATGATCTTCCTGCAATGTTACCTTGTTATTACCATATTTTTTCTGACTCTATCCAATGGATTGTTATGTCAATTTGGCCCCATTTTCTGACTATGATTTAGAATACGTTTGTTGGAAGGAACAGACTCATTCCAGCTGGCTCAAGAGAAAAGAATTTATCATAAATATACAAATAAAATCACACACACACACACACACACATCTGGAAAAGAAACAAAAAAATAGCCAAGGCTTAGCAGGAACAGGAGCTGCTCTTTGCTTCTCTTAAGGAACATATGGTCACAGAAACAGTTGGCTGTATTTGGTCTTAGTCAATTGCATATTATTATCTTTAGGGATTTTTGTTTGCTCCTACAAAGTTAGTGATTAGACTGCTAAATGATAAAGCAAGATATGAAACTTATTGCATTCTTTAGAATTAATAAATATTTTTGCTGCATATATGAGCAAGACTCCCATGATCAAATCATCCCAAATAAACTAGATTAATTAGGTCCAGTGTGGATAAAATAGAATAATCACAAAATGATAATACCATATATAAAATTATAAATATTAATTCTCCTATGTTGAGAGGTCTAGATTCAGTCTGTGGACATGTAATGAAAATGAGAGAGCCCAACAAAACTTTAGAAGTGCTTTTTATATTCTTAACACACTGAATAACATGTCAATCCAGGATTCAAATGCCAGCTCTGTCAGTAACTACCCTGTTGCTATGTGTCTATTAAGCTCTTTGTGCCTCGGGTCCCTAACCTATAAATGGGCATCATTCTAGTTAGTACACACCATAAAATCATTATGAGTGGAATGAGATCAGGTTTCTGAAGTACTTGGTGTGTAAATAAGCCCTTACTAAAACATCATATAGTGTTATTAACAGCCTGTGATGTTGGTTCATTACTTATCTCTGCCACGTTGTACCTGTGTGGCAGTGGTCCTTAACTGGGGGCCACATTGCCCCCACCTCCAGGGGACATTTGGGAATGTCTGGAGACACTTATGGTTGTCACAGGTGGAGGAGGGGTGCTACTGGCAACTAGTGAGTAGAATTCAGAGATCCTGCTAAATATCCCATGATGCACAGGGAGCCCCCAGAGCAAAGACTTGTGCAGCCCCAAATGCTGACAGTGCCGAGCTTGAGAAGCCCTGCTCTAGGGGTTAGTGGCCTCTGTGTACTGAGTGTGTGCTGTGTAACTGTGTGACTGTGTGTTATGTTTTCTAATTTACACTCCACCCCTCCCCCATCTCTCCTAGACTGTGAGCTCCCTGGGTGCAAGTTCTGGGTCATCTCTACTGTGGCCACACCTGCAGTGTCCAGCCCAAGGCTTGGCCCAGAGGAGGAGGCCTCAGCAAATGCTTGTTCAAGGATGTTTTAACACTGCTTTGTAGAAACTCCATAGTAAAAGGCTAAATCTATCACAGTGTACCATGCTTGGTGACCATAAACTCTGAGCTAATACTCACAACATTTCTCCTGACAAAGCATGAGACACAGTTAGTGGGACAGAGCACATGTTTTGGAAAGACTTTAGTTGGAATTCTGCCATGAATTTACCACTTAGCCTCTCACAAATTATAAAAATATTGATATTACCACATCTATTCTAGGGCTACTGTGGAGACTTCACAAGATGGTCCGTGCGCAGTGCCTGGTTTAGAAAATGGTTCCAGCAGCTAAGACCTGCCATGACTTTGGGCGAGTTCCCAGCCCACCTCCCCAGCCACAGGATTCTCTGTAAAGTGGAGAAAAATATTAATAGTATAACTTCCTTGAATGATGCTAAAAGGATTAAATGAAACCATGATGTGCCTAGCGGAATTTAACAAATAGTGACTATTATTATTATAATCTTTTGATTTTAGTGGCAATCAAGACAAGAAAATAATTCTCTGACTTGTCCTTTTCATTTATTCCTTCTTCTTCATTCATACTCCCTGAGAGCAGCAGGAGGGAAACAAAACCAAACAAGGGAGGCAAAGAGAGGTATTTAAAAATACTTTTCTCATATTCCAAAATAGTGAGATGAATTTAAAGCTGTCCTCAAAAGAAGAGTTGGATACCTTTGTTCTTGTGGGCTTGTTCTTTTGGCTGGAAGAGGCATTGATAGCTTTTACTTGTGTACCTGGGCCCTTCTTGAAAGTATTGAATTATCCAAAAAGATTTGTTCCTTTTCATGTGACAAGAAAAAATAAATTGTGATGATTACTGTTGCCTCCTGCCCCATCCTTTTCTTTTATTCGCAGATGAAGCTGCCAAAACATTAAAAAGTGGTGTACTGTACATCAAACACATAGCAGTGCAGGTGACAGAAAACATAATAATATGCAAATTTTGGAGCCTATCCTTCCATACATAATATGGGAATATTTCCTACTTCAGTGTATGTGTGTGTGTTGGGGGGGTGCACACATGTGTGATGGGGGATTAATCATTTTTTAAATTTATTGTAAGAGTCAGAAATACAACTTAAAAGGAAACTTTATTGGCTCACTGAACCCTGCCTTAGGATAGAGTCTGGGCTGGATTCAGTTCAGTGTCCAAATCTGAGGAAAACACTCAGGAAGAAGGATTGAAGATTATTTTTCTCCCAGTGGGAAACTGGATTTCACTACTGAGTCCAGAGAGTTACATAACTGTAATTACAGGCCCCATGGGAAGAGGTCCCCCAGATCATTTCCTCCTTGATTTTTATTTCTTTTTCTATTCTCTCTCTCTCTCTTTCTCTGTCTCCCTTCCTCCCTCCCTCCCTCCCTCCTTCTGTCATCCAAAAGATCACCATAATGGCTGAACAGTAGAAAAGAGTGCTTTATTGGCAGTATTATTTTGCAAACTTGGAAAGTTCTTTGTCTTGGAGGAGAGAAGGGCTTGGTTGGGTTTTATGCTTCACAGGGTCCTTATCCTACAATAGAGTCATACATATTCATCAGGTGTGTGGAAAAGCTGTACATATTTATGAAGGGAGCCAGGCACACACACAATAAGTAAACACATATGTAACATAAATTCTATGTTCACCTTGGGGCAGGATTTTAGCATTAAAATGAGGTACAATTGCGCTCTTTAAGTCAAAGGTGAACTGTAGGACACAAAGGCAATTTGTGCAGAGCCTCTGTACGCTGGCTGAAACTCCCTTAAGGTCTGCAGCTGCTTATCAGAAAAGAATGTTTGTAAGGCCAATCCTCTGTCCATTCAGAGTTTTGGTGATCTGGATTGTAAATCAGAGTTAGGGTAATTTGCCTGATAGCTTCTAATGTTGGAGAGCTTAACACAAAGTGTGGTTTTTCTTGTAGCCATAGGAATTTAGAAATATGCCAAGCCAGCTATACCCTAACCCTCCACTCCTAGGTAACTTTTGGATTCATCTTAGTTGATAAAGGGCCATCTATTTTGGTCTCCCTGATCACCCTTCCTTCCTTCCTTCCTTCCTTCCTTCCTTCCTTCCTTCCTTCCTTCCTTCCTTCCCTCCTCCTTCCTTTCTTTGTACTTTTATACATTAACAAATACTATAAAGCATCTATAGATACTGCTCTAGATGTAGGAAATACAATATTGAACAAAACTGAGAAAAATCCTTGCTCCAGCCCGGTGGTGTGTGCCCATAGTCCCAGCTACTCAGGAGGTTGCAGCAGGAAGATAGCTCGGCCCAGGAATTTGAAGCCCATTGAAAATTTGGAAATAGGAATTTGGAATTTGGAAATAGGCCCATTGCAGATATAGCTATTAATAGTTCAGTTTAGATGAGGCAGTTGGGTGGGGCCCTAATCCAATATGACTTTGTCCTCAGATGAAGGCAAACATTGGGGTGATGTTTCTACAAGCAAAGGAGCACAAAAGATTGCCAGGAAAGCACCAGATGCTACCGTATTTCCCCCAAAATAAGACCTACCCATAAAATAAGCCCTAGCAGGAGTTCTAAGCATTTGCACAATTTAAGCCCTATCCCCAAAAAAGACCTAGTGATGGGTGTGCCTACACAGCGTGTCTGCGCAACCCATGCATTTAGTTGCAGAGCGGTAAAGAAGACGAGCAGCCCTTCTCATCTGCCCCATTGTGACAGCTACTATCCCAGAGGTGACCAGAAAGGTGCTGGCAGCTCCACCAACTAGGTCCGCTCCCCCTGTCAGGTCCCGGCCATCCTGTGCATGCTGCAAGCTGAGGCTTTGAGGGGAAAATAACACATCCCCTGAAAATCAGACCTAGGGTGTCTTCTTGAGGAAAAATAAATATAAGACCCTGTCTTATTTTCGGGGAAATACGGTAGGAGCAGGTCCTGGAACAGGGTTTCCCTCACAGCACTCAAGGCATTAATCCTGCCCACACCTTGATCTTGGACTTCTAGCCTCCAGAACTGTAGGACAGTAAATTTCTGTTGCTTGGAACACCCAGTTTATGACACTTTGTTACTGCAGCCCTAGCAAACTATTGTACCATCTACCCCCGAGCTATAGCCTGTTTGAGAACAGGAAACTTGTCTCCCGTATCTTTGTGGTTCCATCTCTGAGTACTTTTTCCTTATGCATGGTAGGTATTTATTAAAAAGTTTTAGAATAAATGAGTATGCAAAATATTTGGCATTCAGTGGAGATATAATGTCAGTTATAATAGCAACATTATTAATATTAAAACTTCTGTGAAGTCTGATGAAAGGAGCTATGGATGGTTCTGGCTGAGATTCATTATGAAAGGCTCCATGAAGAAGGCCAAACTTACATAGAGGGTGAAAAACGTGGTAATTAAAGTAAAAATGGATGGCACATGTCTATCAAAGCCATCTTTCCCAACTTCTTCCCTTTAAAGCAGTGTTCTCAACTTTGGTTCTATTGAAATTTGGGGGCAGATAATTCCTTGTTGCTGGGGACTGTCATGTGCATTAGAGGATGTTTTACAACATTCTTGGCCTTGACTCTCTAGATGCCAATAGCATTCAGCACCCAGTTGTGGCAACTAAAAATGCCTCCAGACATTGTCAATTGTCCTTCCAGGGATGACTGGGAGCCACTGCTTTAACTATGGTGACGTGAGAGTAGAGGAGATTCCCAGTGATGCACTGAAGGCTCCTTAACATCATTGGCACTTAGCTGTGTCGAGGCAATGGGCAGGAGTCAGGAGGGGGCATGCGCCTGTTGGTGTCTTGTTAGCTCTGTTTGGCTGAAGCTCAGCCAGCTCACTTGGGTGCCTGCGCGCTCTCTCTCTGTTTCTTTCTCTGTCTCTGATTTTGGCGAGGTGTGAGACTGAGCTTATTATCTCTTACATGAGGCCTGTCCTTTTTTATAAGAAATGGGAAATTTAAAAACATCATAATCTATTGGTGGGTGTGAGAAATATCTGTTAAGCGTTACATTTGCTAAATGACATCCCCAAGTTGGTTTTAGTCACCCTGACCTGAGAGTTTTTCAGAGTCTATCATGTACAGCAGGCCTCAGGGACCTCTGGGATGCCCAGGCAGACATGAGCCCTATAAATTCTCCTAGGAGATGCTTTTTAGGGATCTTGGAGCCTGAATCTGGTCTCTGGAAACCAGGATGAAGACATTAACACAAAGGAGGGCAGATCTATGTTACTTCGTCTTCCTTGGAGAAGGTTTGGAGGTGTCCTTCCATGCTTAGATTCATCTCCACAGAGTATTTTCTTAATAACCCTCTGTTGAAAGAAGAAAGAAGCCAAATTAGTGGGCTCTGATTTGAGTAGCAGGGTTGGTATGCAAGGCCTCCTGCAGAGCACTGAGTCCTAACACTCTGAAACTTTTAGGCCTATTTAAGGAGGGGTCAATCTAGCCTAGAAACATTCACTTTTTTTTATAACACTTTTCTACTAAAAACCTGTTGTTGAAGCACAATATGTAAACAGATAAAGAAGGAGATGTTCTGATTGATATTTCCTCCCTCACATTCTCTCAATGGTAGCCCAATTGCTCCATAGCGACTTTTAGGTTTTATCCTGATTTATCTTTCTTCTTAGCACTTACCACCACTCAGAATATTATATAGTTATTTGTCTGTTTATTATCTCCACCCCTACCCCCTATTAGAGCCTATGATCATTAAGAGTGTGGACTTTCTCAGTTTTCTTCTTGGCTGTGTCCCCAGCACCTAGAACTGTGACTGTCATGTCATGTGCCTCACCATGTATTCTAAGTGTTTTACATGATCCTGTCTGATCCTCTCATCCTATGAGTTGGGCACCATCCTTATCCACACATTAAAAGTGACAACTTGATCAAGATCCTACAAAAAGAACTCGTGGGACCAGGATTTGGACTCAGGGCTGTCTGGCTTTAGAGCCTTCAGGCTTTCAAGCTTACTTCCCCATTTACAAAGTTTCAATTGAAATAAAATCAATCTCTTGATGAGTTTTTTTTACAACTGTTTTATTGCCAGTTGGTTTTGTCTCACTGTCCTTTCATAAAACGAGCAGTGGTCACAGCCACTGAGGAGCTGGGTGTGGTAATGCCGGTCTGGAGTCCTCGGTATTCAGATGGCTGAGCATGAATATTCTTCTCAATGTAGTCCCTCTGGGTGTGGAGGTTTGACTAAGGAGGGTGCAAACAGACAAGCATTCAGAAGTAGGGAAAACAATAAAAGAGAAGAAAAGTTGAATTAATAAGTGAATAAATAAGCCCACTTATGAATGAATAATGAAATGAACTAGTTATGGAATGGAAGCATGCAAGGGTACAGGGAGAACATTGTGCCATGCTTGCTTACCTGGCTAGGTTCACTTCCAGGGCTCTGACAAAGACAGAAAGGCTTCCAGGGAGATTAGGAACGTGCTCATGAGACAAAGCCCACAGGAGAAGAAAAGAGGGTGCAAGAAGAAAGGCAATGTAATGTCATCCTTAAGCAATCGACCCAAATTTGAGTCCAGGGTCTGCCATAGACTAGGACTTTGCATAACTTGAGTGCTTTCTCACCTATCTGCTAAGTAGGAATAAAAGTACTATGCACTTCAGAAGGTTGTGGTGAGAACAAATGAAATCATTCATTCAAAATCAAAGTGTTTTGCATAGTGCTTGGCATATAGTAAGTACTTAATACAATGCTTGACAGCATCTTAGGTTTAAAAATAGAAAATAACACCAAAACTCATCTTGCCTTGCTCGGGATGACAGTCAAAGCTAGTTCAGGCCAGTCTACAAAAGAGAAATTCTTAACTTGTAAAATGGATTTCAGAGGTGAGAAATCCCATGAAATTGTAAACAAAATTGTGTGTATAAACAAATGTGTACTTGAATTTAAGTGAGAGTTATTAAGAAACACACTTGGAATAGACCCTAATAGAATGGAGAATCAAATTCAGAAATAAAAGAGATTGTGTAACAGGGACAATAGTCTACAAAAGGGCAATTATGTTTCATGACTTGTCTCTTTAAAGCCTACAACCCTTTTTGGGAATTTAAGCCTACATTCCTTTCTAAGGCCAGTAATCATAATCAAAGAGACAAAAAAATGTTCTTTGCTATATTTTTTCTATTATCTTAAACCATAGGAGATATCTGAACAGAATTGTCTGGACAAGGGTCAAAAAATTTTCATCACCAGAGATAAGGTCAACCGAAACCACCAATTATAGTTAAGCAAGGATAGTCCAAGCTATGACATGTGACGCTGTTCACATATACCCAAGCCCAATAGCCAAAAAGTCTCCTTCAAAAAGCCCTGTTTTTCTCCTTAATGGCACAATGGTGGTCTTTCAGATGCTAGTCTACCACCCTCTTCATTTGCCAGCAGATTAATAAACTTCTCTTCCCTTTTCCCTTAAACCACCTGTCCTAATTTTTTGTTCTCACTGATTCAACGTCTCTGGGACAAGTACCAAAATTTTGGTAACAAAATTTGGCATTCCTGGGTGGGCCCAATCTTGCCCCAGTGGAACAGCACCCCAAGATTTAATGCTGCCATTGCCGGAAGAGGTGGGGAACAGCCCCGGGTCAAACTGTGGATCTTTGTCAATAGGAGCATCATTTTTTAGTAGTGAGAGAGTAAGGAAAGTGTGCACACTGAGACCCTTGATTCCACCCATTTGGGGAAGGTTTTGAACCTTCCAGTCCTGTGATAGGGCATTTGTGGTGCCACTGGTGTAAAAGTCACAGTTGAGCACAACTAGGGAACCTGAAGGGTTTGTCCCCCTTTTGGGTTAGGAGAACTCATTCTCTTTTGTGCTGTTCTCATTTGTTTTGTAGGCCTTCCCATTGAGATTGATTGCATTAGGAATTCCCTGTACTGTCTACCTGTCAACTTGTGTTTGTTCTTGTTGTTTGTGAGTTTTGTTTCAACATGGGAAGCTCCATTTCTATTCCATCCACAAGTTCCTTGCAGTGAATCTTGGCTGAATGGTCAACTTATAGCTATAAGCCTATGTCTAAAAAGGGAATAATGTTTTATTATGATACTGCTTTGTCCATGTACATGCTAGAATGTGAGAGATAATCATTTAATGGAACTTTAAATTATTATAGTTGTTATACCATCTTACAACTGGAATTATTTTGTCAAAGGTCAGGTAAATGGGACAAGATCCTGTATGTACAATTTTTCATACAATTGCATAATAAAGAGGCTTAAAATGTGTGTTTAAAGATTATATATATATTTATAATTTTGTCTAATGCAGAGGTTATTTAAAGGTTGATTCAAAATATAGACTTATAAAGAAGATAAAAACAAGATATAAAATAGCTATTGAAGTAAGAGAAAAGAGATGTAAAAATACTCTGAATATAGAAATATATTTTTGGTAAGAAAGGTTAAACAGAAAGGAGAATAATATTGTATAAGAAAGTATCTTATATGATAAACTTTTGTCCTAAAATAAAATAACTGGTTATTTAAGAAAAGGGAAACTTATGACAAAAGAGAAAGCAATGGTCTGTGCAAAGTGGGATAAGGCTCATAGAAGGGAATTTAGGAAGGAATTTCATATGTGATCAAGTTGGCTATAATTAAAAAGGAAAATTTTTGGTTAAAACAACAAAGTTTTCTAAAAATATTAATTTGTTGTTAATGAAATGACATGATGTATTAATTTAAATTCTATAAATTGTTTTTAATTAAAAAATTATCAAACTTTTATCTTAAAAGTTCAACTTCTTCTATGTCTTACTGATTTCAAATTTTTCTCCCTTTAAAAAGCCTAGGATGGTATCTCTCACCTTCAACTTTTAGTCCGCAGCTATAATTTTTTCCCTTCTGGTTCTAAGTCTGTTGTTTTAGACTAAAAATAGAATGTTTTATCTCAAATGTTTAATAAAACAATGTTTTCCTCCAATATAACTTAATAATATACTCTTGGCCTTTCTTGACATGTCTAGAAACTTCTTATGTCGGCCAAGCTTCTCGTGGTGTTTCTAAGAGTCATTAATTCCCATAAACTAGTATTCCAGGTACTAGTTTCTCTTATTTACATTGCTCTATAATATACTGCACACTCATGACCCTGCACACACCCTTGCTGTGTCTGATTAATTCAAGTGCCTTTTTCATCAGGTTTAACTTCCAAGTTATCTAAATGGGTTTGCCACAAAAAACAAATACAAAAAACAAAAGCTACATACTACAGAAAGTTTTCCCTTACCTTTTGGGTAACTGGCTTAAAAGAAACAAAGATTTTATTCTTATCAAGATAATCCATGTGTTGTCTTTATTAGGTTTTTGACTAACTAGAAAAACGAAACTTTAAAGGGATTAAGGTTTACACCATATAACTTTCTGTATTGCCTTTAAAGCCTTTTGATGACTATCACTCTTGGTTAAATAAATGACCATTATTTTACAGTGACTTGTGATTCTATTTTGAACAAATGTTTTAAACCATTAGTATTTGACAGATTTTTACAAACAAAATTCTAAATTCAGTCATTTTAACCTCAAACTAGCTCTTTAATAACAGAGCCACTAAAAGTCCAAGAGAGACATATTAGCTTTATTTGAGATATTGAAACCATACGGAAAGCCTTGTCAAATATGAAATGGCATTTAACTTTCTTTGGGTTATATTTGTATAAATATATTATAAATATCTGTTCCAAAACTGTATGAGATTCCTAAATCCAATATGTCTTGGTTTAAATGATCAATAATAATGTATAAGGTATTTATGCTAATTGGTTGTATGCCACAGAAATAACCAAATCTCCTTTGCATCTTTAACCATGACTATTCTAAGATTATTTTTGTTTTACTTTGATTCTTTTCAAACAACAGTTTACAGTTGGCTATAGTCCATGATCTGCTTCTTTAAGAAAAAGACATGGAAAGAACTAAAATACTTTTATGACTTTTTATTTAAATAATTACTGATTCTCTTGAATTGTTTTCCAGAGTCATGATAAGCATCAAGTAAATAGCACAGTATATCTAACACCTCCAGGATTTAAAACTACTGAATCCTGCTAAGCCCAACCTGTTATTCACTGCCAAACTCCTGCTATTAAAACTACAGTCCTCCCTTTAGGTCCAGGGACTATTGTGAAAGAGGAGGCCTTTGAGATTGTAAAGGCAGATTTCCAGGAATGGAATTAGTTCAGACCCTCTAGGTAAAGGATAGACACGCAGATGCCTAAACAAATGCTAAATGAGAGACTTTGCCTTTTCGGGCCATTCATCCCAACCATAGTGTATTTCCTGTTTCCAGTAGGCTTAAAGCTCCCTGGATGCCATTGTTCCCAGTTAGGGGGTTTATACATATAGATGTATGATAAGAAATTTATTGGTTCACCATAGAACAAATTACTAAAGTGACTTCCAAAAAACAAATTGCCGTACAACAAAAGTCTCTAAATTCTTAAGCATAAATGGTTAAATCATGCTTATGTTTCATATAACCAAATTGCTACAAGTCTGCAACTAAACCCAAGAATATAGTAGCTTAACATTTAGATAAATTAATTTTGAAGCCTTGCCTTTGACATTTTGGGTTTTATTCTTATATTGCCTAGAAGGTTTTAGTGGGTTGATAAGTGCCTGTCCACATCCAGTACAGTCTGGCCCAGAACATTTAATTGACTGTAAGCTCTTTTTGCCTCCTAAGTCCCCTTGGCCACAAGGGTCCCATCAAGGGCCCAGAGATACCTGGCAGGTACTCACATAACCCTGGCGATGTGGGACACAATGAGAGTTTGGCCGTCGATGCTGCTTCTCACAGATCTTAATCAAAATGGGTGAATTGTGAATTAAAAGAAAATCTTAAGCTCCCCCCATCCAACTAAATGGACCCCTTCTTGGCCAAGGAGATCCCGGAAATACCCTGAAAGCTGAGTTGCTGGTAGAGAGAAGGGAGATCAGACATGACTCCTCATGCCTTCTTCCTTTCTTGGAGATATCCTTTGTGACTCATTAACAGGCCTAA